GCTACACTGTCAGGTCAAAAGGACACTGGGAACTTTAGGGATCATTTGGTTATGGCTCTGAAGTGGCAAGGCCATGCTCATTATAGCTCTTGTCAACCAGAGTTCCATTGTTTGTGGGTCTTTGCACATACCATCTGCGGTAACCCTCTCTGCTTCAAGACCCCACCTCTAACAGTGTGGTGATTGGTGGTACAGGCTTTGAAGTCAGGTGGCTTGGATTTAAACCTCAGTCTGAACACTTAGACTTGTGTGATCCAGTCACAAGACTTAAGCCTGTTTCCTCACCTGTAAAATGGGGATACCTATCATATGGAAGTAACATCAGGCCTACAAAGCTCCACGTGGGGTGTGTGGTAGGTGCTCCAAAAATGCGGACGTTACTTGTATTCATTGCTTTCTTTCCCTGCTTGTAAAGTCAATCCTGATGATTCCACTGCATTGATCTCTCTATTAAGAATTTACATTTTGGGGGCACCTGGCTGGCTCAGTGGGTTAAAGCCTCTGCCTTCGGCTCAGGTCACGATCTCAGAGTCCTGGGATCGGGCCGAATCGGGCTCTCCGCTCAGCAGGGAGCCTGCTTCCCCCTCTCTCTGCCTGCCTCTCTACCTACTTGTGATCTCTGTCTGTCAAATAAATAAAATAAAAAAAAAAGAATTTACATTTGTTTGGTGCTTAATGCACTGATCTATTCTTATACTAGATACACTCAGACTTTCAGATTTGACCTGTGTCCTAAGACTTAATTTGTTGAGAATGCTGTTTTTATGCTGAACTCAATAGGTCAGTTAGTGTTGGCTCTTTTGGGAAGGTATTTTGGACTAAGCACCGATTTAGATGGTCAATAAGGAGCTCCTATTTTCTGTAACAGACAGAGAAAGCTCTCCATCAGTGAATCTATCCTCTGTCTCAGAAAGCACCTTTATGTAGAATGAAAAAGGCCTTAGGATCTACATTGGTTTGGTTCTGGTTTCTACTTTCCCATGAACTTATAATATTGCCAGACCTCCAATTAAGTGAGAAACTGCATCTGGGTAGTTTCTCTGATCACTCCTTCCCCTAGTTTCACAGTCCTCCACTTTGCTGCCTTCCTGTCATTTAAAAAACATTTCAGTTTTAAGTTCAGCATAAATGTTTTACAGGTTTCCTAGTTCTTGACATCCCGGCCTTTATGGTTTATTGCCCTGTTTTACTAAGTCTTCTTGAATGTTTTTACTGTTTTATTCTTTTTCTAAAAGAAATGTTTTCTTTTGAACTTGGAGTACTTAAGACTGTGAAGACAAGAGTTGGCAGTTTAAAAGACATTTCCCTCTATCTGTTTCCTTTGAAGTTTGTTCTTGCCTCTAAATCTCTAAAATTAGGCACTTAGAAGCTTTGGGGGCAATGTGTGAGGAAAAAAGGAAAGGGTGAAGAGGGTGGAATTTTTAATTTTGACTTACTCTTTTCCAGAAGGTGCTTTACAAGTAAAAGCATTTTGTTTATATGCTCATACATATTTAGATATATGTATACACACAGATATGATGCTTTTTAAAAAGTGTGTTTCTGGAACCCAAGATTATGTAAATAATAAAATGCATCTCCCATCTACTGCTTCCTGAACCTGCCGTGTTTCATGTAAATGTAGAGAATTATGTATTTTTAGCATCTCTTTGTCAACACTACCTCAGAAGAATCTATTGGTAAGACATAGTAATTCTTACACATCACACAAATAACCGTATGTGAAAACATTTGATTAATCTTTCACGATTCACGTGATACTTTTCACAAATCTTAATATTTCATGAATCTAGTGAAGCATTAGTATGATTTTGCAGAGATGGAAAGAAGCTCAGTGAAGATAAGTGACTGAAGGTCACAAAGCCAGTAAGTAGAACTGCAGCGCTGTCTGTGACTTTGAAATCCCAAACCCAGTCTGTTTTACAGTGCCACATCGAAATCAAGGGCAAAATCCTCCATGCACGCCAAACATTTGAGGAAAAGCAAATAGTTTTGGTCTTAACCAGAAGAAAATCCAGTTACACATCTGGCTAGGCTACACCTGCAGCTTAAGATTTTTTTTCCCTCATTCACTGAGTCCTTGTCTTAAACGTCAGCTGCTGGTGTCCTGACCTGGGTTGCTTTTGTGGCATCAAGATTACCCCCTTTCTTATCCTCCATGTTCCATCTGGTCCACCACGTTCAGTACAGGCTATTTTAAGCTAGGTAGCATTTGTTGTGTCAGGTGTGTTTCAGGGTACAGCTTACATACAAATAAATTTTAGTGGGAGTCTCTGATTTTCAGTAGCATGCTCATCTGCTGCTCATTTGTCTGCAAGCCTGTCAGCCCGTGCTAAGGCTCATTGCAGGTTCAGTGGCCCTCAGCAAACCAACACACGGATTGCTTGTTTTCTGATTCAGGTCAACTATTGGTACCTGAGGCAGTTTCTCTTTAAAATATCATGCTAATTCGTTGAAGCTCCTCTCACATTCAGGCCTCTCCATGAGTTGGAGATGGCGTCATTCAGAACATGCATTGGGTGGTTCTTTCCTTTGCTCAGGCTGAGAGCCTGTTTCGAGGCCCGACGTCCTGGGTTCATCTTGTACCCATCTGGCTCAGCTGCACTGGCCAAGAGTAACAGTGTGCGCTTTTCTGAGCAAGTCCCTGGCATCTTGCCCATGCCTTACAACACAACCGTCCTTCACACACTCCTGGGGACTAAGCCTATTTGTCTGTGTCCTCTACAACTAGCACGTGGCTGGCACAGGGCAAGCACTCCGGAAAAAGTTCTAAATGAATGGATTCTCGGGCCCCTGCTGAAGTTACATCTGTCAGACACAAATTACCAGATTTTAAGTAGTTTTTAAGACTATAATATGGGTCCTAGTCATACCATCTGGATCATGTATCTTTAAAACTACAATTTATCAAAACATATATAATGGGATTCTTACTAATTCAGGAATTATTTGCAGGGCAATTACTGCCAGCACTTCTAATGCTGCAGGGAAAGGAAATCATAGCTTCAGGGGCTGCTGTGTGTCCTCTTGCTGTGCACTCTGCTCTTCTCCTGAGAAGCAGACGCAGGGTTAAAAAAAGTACTCTAGCATGGGGCGCCTGAGTGGCTCAGTGGGTTAAGCCTCTGCTTTCAGCTCAGGTCATGATCTCAGGGTCCTGGGTTCGAGTCCCGCATCGGGCTCTCTGCTCAGCAGGGAGCCTGCTTCCTCCCCTCTCTCTGCCTGCCTCTCTGCCTACTTTTGATCTCCCTCTCTCTGTCAAAAAAAAAAAAAAAAAAAAAGTACTTTAGCAGGACAAGGTGCGAATGGTTAACATTCCTGTACTATACGCTTAAAGGTGGTTAAGATGGTAAATTTTACAACAGAAAAGAAAAAGTACTTTAAAAAATTTACTAAGCAGTGCTAGATTGTTGGAACTTGAGAAAAAAAAATCAGAGAAGCCCTCATAACCTCATTGAAAATTCACTGTTAGAATTCACTTAAATGAGCAGCTAGCTATTTGTGTATATACAAGGATCCCCTCTCAAAGAAATAACACTGGCTAAGTTGGTTAAGTCCAAGCTTTTTCACTGAAACTGCAAAGCTCTAGGTCACCTGGGTGGCACAGTCAGGTAAGCGTCTGACTCTTGATACCAGCTCAGGTCATGATCTCAGGGTTGTGGGATTAAGCCCCACCTTGAGCCCCACATGAGGCTGTGCTCAGCATGGAGTCTGCTTGTCCCTCTCTGCTTCTCTCCCCACTTCTGTACATGCATTTGCATACTCTCTCTAATAAATAAAATCAATCTCAAAAAAAAAAAAAAAAACCAAAACCTGGAAAGCCTTTCATTGTCTGGCCTCTTGTTTCCAGGTGAAACCCATATAGTCATCTTTTTTCAGTTCAACAGGATGCTTTCTTGTGCTTCACACTTTGCCCATCATTTTTATCTTTTAAAAAAATTTTAATTAAGATTTTTCCTATTTTTAAGTAACTTTTATACCCAGTGAGGGGCTTGAACTCACAACCCTGAGATTAAGATCACATGCTCCTCAAACTGAGCCAACCAGGCACCCTGATGATTTTGTGTGTTTTTTTTTTTTTTAAAGATTTTATTTATTATTTATTTGACAGAGATCACAAGTAGGCAGAGAGGCAGACAGAGAGAAAGGAAGGGAAAGAGGCTCCCCACTGAGCAGAGAGCCCGATGCGGGGCTCGATCCCAGGACCCTGAGATCACAACCTGAGCCGAAGGCAGATGCTTTAACCCACTGAGCCACCCAGGTGCCCCTGTGTGTTATTTTTTAAGTAAGCTCTGTGCTCGATGTGGGGCTTGAACTCACAACTCAAAGATAAAGAGTCGCATGCTCTACTGACTGGGCCAGTCGGGTGCACCTTAATTTTAAGCAAACTCTACACCACATGTGGGGCTCGAACTCATGACCCCGAGATCAAGAGTCATGCTTTACTGACAGAGAGCCAGGTGCCCCCTCTTCTCTTATTCGTCCTGCAGAGCTCAGATGAAATGCCATCTCTTTAGGGAGGCCTTCTTTCAATTCTAGAGGTTTTGAGTCTCTTGCTATCTCTGGACTAAGCCACTGATTGATCCACACTCTTGCAGAAGTCTGGATTTTTCCTCTGTAGCACTTAATACAATTTTATTTATATAACGATACTAGTCTCCCACAAGCCCGAAAGTTCCATGAGGTAGGGACTGTTTTCTCAGCTTGCTAACCATGGTGTCACCAGGGCCCCAGCAGGTACTCACTCAGTACTCTTAGCGGGTGGATACTTTGCCCAAATCTATCTTAGAAGATACTCTCCAAGGAGGAGGTGGAGAGGAGGTACATGAAGTTTGTAAGCTTAGTGGTCAGACAGTACTGAACGGCTAGAGGGATGGAAGAGTTTGGGACTGGTGTCGTGGGGAAGCAAGGAGGGATCCTGGGGGGACTAAAAGATGCTCATTCAGTGAGTTTTCCCCAAGTCCCCAACATACCATTCCCACCCCAAATGAGTCATTCTTCAATCAAGTCTATGCAATTCATTTCTTTAGAGAAAGAGGAGAACCTTAGGGTATAAAACCAAGGCTAAAGTAACTTTGCAGAATTAGAATGTGTCCAGGGAACCAGTCACTATTCAACTGGATGGGACTTGAACACAGAAATGATCGTGTTCCTCCAAATCATTTTCAGTTTCAGAAGCTTACATTCCTCGAATATGTGGAAAGATAAATACACCTTCTTCTGCTGTCAGTTGCTGAGAAAGAGCTTTGTTCTCCTGCTGGACCAACACTACTTCTTTTTTGTTGCTCTTTTCCCTTCTCCCTTCTTTGGTTTCCCCTTGCCACGAAGCTTCTTTAGGCGCAACTGCTCATCCCTGAAGTCCTGGTGCTCATCTCTGAATGGAGAAAGAAAAAATAATTAGCCCGTATTTTGACCTGATGGGAACAGCACACCAATCTAGCCCTGTTCCCTCAGGCTGCTCTGCTTATCAGTCCCTGACTTCTCAGGGCACATGCTCAGCTTGGTGAACAGAAAGGACAGAGAGTCCCCAACATACACATGAGTTGTGTTCCAAAAGTTCATTTCTAAGTCACAGTGTCCCCTCACAGAAACAATGCCACAAGCGACTAAAACTCCCAGGCCAGTCCATATTAACTGACGCAACAATGAGACAATGCTAATAATTACTTCAAATTTCCCTATAATGCTAACACTGACCATAGGGAAACAGAAAGTGGGTCTCAGCTTGAAGAGCTACACAGAGACCCTGAAAGCCCCAGGAATTAACACCTACTATGAGGGGAAGAGGTCTGAAGGAGGCTACCTTAATGGCTGTGGATAATCCAGACAAAAAGGCTGCTGGGGGAAGGCTCAGGTAGAATGAAGCCAAATCGACAGTTCCTCCAGAGATCGAGGCGGCGAGGTCTGTTTGTACATATGGCTGGGGTGTAAGCTGAAGACGGCCTGTACTCCAGAAAAACAACTGCATTCTAAGATTAAATGCCTAGAACAATATATAGTCATATGTTCTTAAATATGTAAGGTTTGGAACCCATTTCAACCTGGGTTCCAATCACAGCTCCGTCTACCATTTAGTAGCTGTGTGACCTTTGATAAGTGATTTTCCCTCTCTGTATCTTAGTTTCCTCACCTGTCAAGGATGGATAATAATGGTGTACAAATTAAATATAAGAGGGGGTTGTGCTGCGCCCAACTGTTAACTCCTTAGGTAGTTTTAAAATAGACTGGTTTTGTAGGGTACACTGTTCCATTCCGTTAACACGATTGGTATATATGACCTCTTCTCAAGTAGCTATGAACGCCCCCAAATCACCTATTCTCAACAGAGCAGCCAGAGTTATTCTTCTCAACTGTGACATTACGTCACTTCTCTGTTCACGGGCCTACAGACGGTTCCCCATTTCACCCAGAGCAAAAGCCAGGACCTTGTGTCACGGTCCTCAGAGCCCTTCATGATCGGCCTGTGGCCTTACCACCCTCTCCCTCTCGGTCACCTGCACTACTCCTAGAACCCGCCAAGAGAACGCGCACCTCATGGCCTTTGCTCTGCTCTTGCCTCTGCCTAAACAGTTCTTCCCCAGATCCCACTTGTCTCACTCACCACCTTCAAGTGCTTAAACCTCATCTTCTCAAAAAGGCTGACCTTGACTGTCCTGTTTAATACCGAGGCCCGTCCTCTCCCTGCCCACCAGGTCCCCTCTGAGTATTCTTTCTGCGAAGGCAGCTTTACTGTTCCTTCCCCACGACACACTCAGCTTTTGGCATACCACATCATTTACTCATCCAGTACGTTTGCTCTCCTCTTCTTCCCTCCCTCTTCCATTCCCATCAACCCTCCGCCAGAAGGAATGCTCCGAAGCCAGGGGTCTTTGTCTCTGATGATATAGCCAAGCACCTGTGTGTCTGAGGGACTGAATGAGTCAGTGTTTGGGAGAACCTGTGCCGCCCTCCCCGGCTTGCAGGTCTTTCAGTAATATTTTCTTTACTGAAGATTGTCTAGTTTCACCCTGCCTGATGCCACACGAGGCCTTCCATTAGAGGCACCCTTTACCATAACTAGTGACAAATACATGAAAATCATTGTGCTTTTCCATGGATAACTAAATGCTAAGTATTTCTCCCCCCATCCCCAAAGATAGTCAGGGTTTATTTTTCAAACAAATGGAGAGTGGCACCAAACAGGTAAATTAAAATAGCTGAATGTGACTTTGTGAATGGGCTATACTTTTCTACTCAGGAGATCTGCCTTCCAATGATACTTTACTTGGGGTCATAATAAAATCAATTTTTATTTCCTGAGCTCAGACTAACAGCAAGGGAGAAAGTCCCAGAGCAAGTCCAGAAATTCAAAATATGTTGTGGATTATAATCTCTATTATAATATATTAACTGAGAAAATCTATTCTGTTTTGCTCACTGCTGTTCTCCTAGTGTCCATCTTAAGTGTCTGTACATCGAAGGTACTTAAAAATATCCACTGGAAGGATGAATGTACCAATTTTTAGCTACGTGGAATGAACTATTAATTTCATTATATTAGAGTGAATAGTACCAAATTAACTTTTGTACTGCTGTCCTAAGACAAGTCCAATTAAAACACTTTAAATCTTAAAAAGTAGATTTATTTATTTTTAAAATATTTTAAGTAATCCCAACACCCAACACAGGACCCCAAGATCAAGAGTCATATGTTCTACTGAGCCAGCCAGGCACCCAAAAAATAGATTTATTTTAACTTTGCACTATTACGCACTGTTTGAATGCTTTTTTTTTTTTTTTTTAAAGATTTTATTTATTTATTTGACAGACTGAGATCACAAGTAGGCAGAGAGGCAGGCAGAGAGAGAGAGGGAAGCAGGCTCCCTGCCGAGCAGAGAGCCCGATGCGGGACTCGATCCCAGGACCCTGAGATCATGACCTGAGCCGAAGGCAGCGGCTTAACCCACTGAGCCACCCAGGCGCCCTGTTTGAATGCTTTTATAATGAGCATGTATCAGTTTGGTAATTAAGACTTTCTTTTAAAGAAAATGATCACATAGGTATTTGATCTTTTCTCTTTCTAGAGGAATAGATAGTCCTGAGCACCCATTTCCTATATATACACAAACATATAACACATGGTGGTAAGAGCCTGTGCAATCTATGTATTACTTTTTTGCAGGGCTTCATTTCATGTCCCTGAGATCAAGACCTGAGCTGAGGTCAAGAGCAGGGTACTTAGCTAAGCCACCCAGGTGCCCTCACATATTACTTTTAAAGGTGAACTACAACTTATTTAGACCAAATTAATATATCAAAAAGGGTACAAACTGGGATGCCTGGGTGGCTCAGTTGGTTAAGCAACTGCCTTCAGCTCAGGTCACGATCCTGGAGTCCCGGGATCGAGTCCCACGTCAGACCCCCAGCTCCACGGGGAGTCTGCTTCTCCCTCTGACCTTCTCACCTCTCATGCTCTCTCTCTCTCAAGTAAATAAATGTTTTCTTAAAAAAAGGGGTACAAACTAAAAATGCCAGAAAAAAGGTCGAAAGAAGTAAGAACTCCAATAAAACTTCCACTTGGAAGAAAGGCTCCTATAAACCAGCTAGGAAGGAGACTGGTTTTGGGGCTGGGACTCTCTTCATCTGACCAATGAGAACCTGTTGTTCTGGCAGCCTGCCGGGGGGCAGGGGGTGCTGGGAGGGGGTGAGGTTTTCCTCTGCAGCATTTAGAGTGCTCTTAAATTAATAAATAATTAAACATATCTGTAGCTCAGTATCTCGTCAATCTTAGTCCAGTTTTAGACATAATTAAAATATGTCTTCCAATACATGCAGGTTTCCTTTTTTATTTTTTTTCAGTGTGCCCATTATGAGCATTTTAAAAGCCTTTCTCCCCAAAACTATGCCTTTTGAGCCATCTGGGCACTATTAGAAGAATCATAAAACCGTAGGGAAAAAAGCCTAAATTTTTCCTTTTCTGATAGAACAGGTTACTGTGTGGTTTTTGCCATTACCTATAGAGGCCAAGAAAACGCAGTGTCCCCATGAGTGCATAATAAGTGTTGTGATTTGGGTACCAGTCATAAGTCTCTTTCCTCTTGGCCAGAGGCTGCTCACTGAACAGTTTCACCACTTTCATGGATTTGGAATCAGTAGGCCTAGCCACCTCACCAAACAGCCGGGCACTCAGACGAGTCATGCGCAAGGCATATTCTGAAAGTGAAGACATTTCTTGAGCAGCAAGGAGGAAGAGTCCCTACAGAAAATGAGAAGATAAACACATTAGTGTGTGAAATTCCAAGATTATCTAATGAGCACTTTACAAAATAAAAACAGCAAGCCACATGTGAATCAGTCATGTGGCTGGCAGGACATGCCTTTGAGTTGAGAACTATCCACAGCCCAAATGGTGGCTTCCTTTGCCACCATTTGCCACTTTACATTTCTTATTTCTACATTCGATGTTCTCACACTACCACCTTGCTGCACTGCCCTTTTTAGGGTGAACCATTTTGTTATTTACTGATAGTTTACCTATTTGTAGGCTAGATGAGGACAGGCAAATGAATTATCCAACCACAGCATTATTATACTTTCAGAAAACACCCACCTCAGCACTCTGTAGAATAAAAATGCTGACTGCTTGCCATCTAAAGGTTTAATCATGGCAGAGAAATAATTATCCTGTTGTCTTTATTATCAGCCCTTTGAACACTGTTCTCCTCAAGGGCTCCAGATGGCTCTGAGAACTGCTAATGAGTTATGAGGTCATTTAGCCTCTAGGCTGCTGGACTGAATTCTGCCTAGAGACCGAGAGCCATTTGGGAGAAACAAAACAGAGGTAGTAGTCTTATAGAAATAAACTCAACAGCCCTTAAGATTCATTTTATTCCTGAATAGAAGGACTTATGGGTTATAAGGTTATGTTTTATCTTTCATCTTATATATTCTGCTTTAATGCATTATAAGTTCTTACTAGCTGTAAACAGTAACTTTTTCTTTGGAGGCCCAAGCTCAGAATGTTGAAATAGGTATAAGGATGATATCTGTAATAGGCAGAAATCACAGTAACATGTATCAAACATTATATAGGCAATACATAAAGGCTCCGTTGCGCAATGGACAGTGCATTGGACTTCTATATAGGCAATACATAAAAATCAAGAACACTGCTTGTGAAATAACTGTATCATTCCAGACCAGATGTAGGGTTACTGCTGGCAGAATATGCTACTTTAAGTGAAATTTTGTAGTGAGATGAGAATCTTTGCTAAGAGACTGCCCAGGGGCCAGTCCAGTGGAGATGAAAAATAGCTGCTATCCAAACAGAAAAAAGGTATAAACTTATTTTGAAAAAACAATGGGAGAAAAACAAACCCAAAACCCCAACCCTCATAGGGTACCTGGCTGGCTCAATCAGTAGACCACATGACTCTTGATCTCAGTCAGGGTCATGAGTTCAAGCCCCATGTTGGGGACCAAGTTTACTTAAATAAATAAATCTTAAAAAAAAAAAAAAAATCCTCCTAAGCAAGAATGGGGCCAAGTAAATTTCAAAATACCTCTTGGAAGAAAAAAAAAATACAAAACCCCAAACCTTATTTAAATTAAGGAATTTTTCATGTCCATTTCTAGATCCATTGAAAGAGCAGAGGCGGACCTCAAACAAACTGCAGAATGCCAATCTCAAACCATTTACCAATCTGAACACCCACCAAACAGGCCAATAGTGCCATCTGAAGGCCAGCAATGGGAGAACGTCAGGTCCAGTTCTCTGCAACCTGGGGATCACCTGCAAACCTTTTTCCTTTTCCTTTCACCCCCCCTCCCCCCTTAAAATCTGCTTCTCTCTCAATCTTGGTTCATTGTGTGGATAGGAATGGGCTGGGCTGGGCTGTTAGGAGTAGGGTTATATTTTAATCAATGAGGAAAAAAAAGGCATTAACAGTTTAATGTATAAATAGGAAATATTAACAAATCAGTGCTATAAACCTTTAAAGGCTTTACAGATGCCCACGAGTTGCCTTCAGAGGCTACAGTTTCTTTGCGTGTTTTACCTTTTCTCTTCCTCCAGTTGAATTATCTTTTTCCCTACATCAGATAAAAGAAAAACTAAAAAACGGTTTCTTAGTCAACTTTGCTTTGTTTCGCTTGCTATAATGGCATTCAAATAGATTTCTGTTGCAAGTGCACAGTATTTCCAGTTATACGGTGGCCAGGGAACTGTTGTTTTACAGTGTTCTCAGACAAATGTGTTCCAACTTCCATCACTTTATTTTTCAAATGACGAGGCAGCATAGAGTCCTGAGGCCGAGGTTTGCATCCTGGCTCTGCCATTTACTTGCTGATTGTCACTTTTTACTACCTTAAAATTTTTAATTGGAAAGCGTTACTTAGGATTTTTTTCAGGACCCTAGTATGCCTCCTTACAGAATATTTCAATTTTATCTTAAAAAAAAAAGACTAAATTAAAGACATTCAAGTAAAAGGCAAATAACTTAATGCCCCCCCCCCGCCCCCCTAAGCTACGATGCAGAAATGCCGTCAGATGAGCTGAGAAACAGGCCTGCACGCGACCTAATCAGGGAAAGAATGACTGCGCCGGAGAGGAAACTACGCTAGCGTCCCTCGTTTGGTAAATTCCCCAATTTAAGCAGGAAAAGGCCAACTGGTTTGTAGGATGGTTAGTAGCTGGTTAGTAATGAAATCGATTCATCTCATTCTTGGCGACTGTAGAAGGTTGGAGATCCTCGCAGGGCTTCTCTAACGACCGCCCGTGTCTCACTGCAGGGGAGCCCCCCAAAACTCTCGGACAAGCTTACCTAGTCGCGACCTTCCTCTCCCGCGCGACCCTCTCCCGGAAGGCCCGCCCCCGGCCGGGCTTCAACCTCCGGCGGGAGTCTGCAACGGGAGCAGTGGAGAAACGGAAGCTCGCGGATAGAGGGGAGCCCTGGAGGAACCCGGAACTACTAGCGCTCTCTCTCGGAGGCTTCAAAGGTCACACCTGGTACCTTGCGCAATGAGGACAGTGAGTCTTGTCTGCGGAGTGGAGATGGTTGTTTAGGGAGAATGGCTGACTTTAGGGGAATGTCTTGCAGCGTTCGCTAAATATATTTTGTTGGCAAATGCTTGCAGAGTTGCCCTCTAAACAGGGGTCATGCGCGTGCCGCGTAGTGGAGGATGAAATGCATTTTATTCTTTATTTTTTCTGTTCCTTCCTCTGTCTCTTTTCATCCAGCCGAGACCTTGACGTGTTCCAAGGGCATTGCTTGATTTGAGGCTGAAGGGTCTTCTGGCCCTGCTGGGATGCCATTTCCTTCTCTTTCACTTATCCACTCCTCTAATGGTCGATTAGTTATCATCTGTAGGAGACTGTTCTCGGTACCCTTTTGCTGGATTAGGGCGCCAATTGAAGCAGCCTGTGTGGGCGGGGGCCCGGAACCTTCCTCAGGGGGTGAGGAGGGGATATTTGTCAGACTCCTCAGTAGTGACGTAGATCCCGCTTGGCAGACAGTAGAAATGCTGGAAGTATGTCCCTCCATGATAAATCCGCTCGCAAGCACGCCACACCTCATAAATGTATGAAGCATTTATTGACTGATAGTAGGCCTGAAAACACTTTTCTGAGCATTATTCAAGACCTTTCATAAATACTCTAAAATGTACGCTGGAAATAAGTAAGGTACACCAGCAGCAATGCATATACCTAGAGGATATTCTGTTGACACTCTCTTTCCTCCTACAGAATTGTGTTATTTTTTTTTTTTTGACATTTTTAAAAAGGGAAAAAGAAAAAAGCCTCAAATAGAATCATTCCTCTCCACCTACACAATCCCCCTTAGCAAACCAAGACTTAATCACAGTCTCCAACTCCCAGGAACTTGACCTTTTAACAGTCAATCTGAAAATTTCTGATCAGCACTAGTGAGGTAAACTGTATGATAAAAACCTTGCCTTCCGGGGGTGCCTGGGTGGCTCAGTTGGTTCAGGTCATGATACCAGTGTCCTGGGATAGAGCCCATATTGGGCTACCTCCTGAGTGCGGGATCTGCTTCTCTCTCTCTCTCTCCCCGCTTCTGCTGCTCATGCTCTCACTCTCTCTCAAGTAAGTAAGTAAAATCTTAAGGGAAATAAAACAAAACAAAACAAAACACCTTGCCTTCCCAGTAGTTAGTAAGTATAAGATCCTACATCAACCAAAACAGTCTATGACTTCCATGGCCAGAAAACTCTATCACAGATTTATTGAAGAAACAGAATACCAAAGATTACTATTTTATCTTATTTTTAAAAAATATTTTATTTATTTATTTGACAGAGCACAAGCAAGGGGAGCAGCAGGCAGAGGGAGAGGGAAAAGCAGGCTCCCCATGGAGCAGGGACCCTGTTGTAGGGCTCGATCCCAGGACCCTGAGCTCATGACCCAGGCTGAAGGCAGACACTAAACCAACTGAGCCACCCAGGCACCCCCAAAAGTCATTATTTTACAGTGGAAGCCCACATAAAGGAGTTGACAGCTTTGAAAGCTGACACATGGTTTCATGTGATAATGAGTATCTTACCACACTGCTGGAGGCTATCAGAGGTCAGAGTGGGAAGTCTTACCTGATGCATTATAACCTGAAGCCCTTGTGATCTTTTGAACTGGCCAGCAGTAGGGTATAGAGGCTACTTCTATAGTTCCCTTATATGCAGTTTCTTTATGTATAATTTTTTTGGCTTTTTCATTTTCTAGTTTCCTACAAAAATACAACTTTTTAGTAAATAAGTAAAGCATTAAAAAAAGAAACCCTCAAAACAACAACAACAACAACAAAAACTTGCACCCACAAAAAAATGCCCTGGCTTGAGACAATCCTTTCCTTTAACTTGCTAATAATTTTCTTGCCCCACCCTACTACCATTTTGTACAACTCCTCAGGGTTCCTTTCTACATGCTAGGTGGGCGGCTGCCCCATTCATAAATTGTTTAATAAAGCCTATTGGATCTTCAGGTTTATTCAGTTGAATTTTTAAAATTTTGTTTTTTAGCAAAATCTTGTTAATCTGTGCTATAAAATTTGCTTTTATCAAGTTGTTTTGACATGTTATCAACCTATGATACAGTAAGTAGCCTTCTAAACTTGGTATGGTATGAGTTTACTACAGTTGCATTTACACAAATGTAATGAGTATACCTCATTCTTTCTTGCATAGCTCAGTCCAAAAATAACATTCTGGGTAGAAATTCTACCTTGTCTTTGCATTTTTGTGTAGTTGGCTGTATTTATCTAATAGCCATTAAATCATGTAAACAAGGAGGCTCCCTTTGCATGTTAGAAAATTTAAAGCCAAGTTGGCAGTGGACCCATGGCAACAAGTATTACATGTATATTTGCATAAACTTTGCCATTGGTCCATTTATATATCTATTTTTTATTTTTCCCTTTTCCCATATTATCTGTGTTATCAGTATGTTTGTGAATCAGTCTATCATCTACCATAACTCTTGAAACATATAGGTTTAAAGAGTTACAAGTTAGCTACTCTTAAGCTGCCTCTTCTGTCCTTCTGGCCAACCTACTATTCTTGAAGCTTTCACAACCACCCATATCCTATGTGATTGATTAACTAAATCTTTTTTTTTGGCGGGGGGTCTATCTAAGATCATGCATTCTTTCCTAGAAAGGAATGAGCCCTTCTGCATGTCTCAAAACAGAAATCAGACCCTCTTGCATATCCCCCCAACCCTAATGCCCTGCACTAAGGAACCAGACTCCCTTGCACAATCTCTGAGCACTGTGAAAGTATCTATAGCTGGCACCATTAAGTCTGAACAATAATCAAGAAATGTTACAGACCACTGCACTCCCTTTACTGATTAACTTCTCTAAACTCCTTTAAAAATCCTTGGGCCAACAGAAGCCTCAGAGTTGGCCTTTGGGCAAGAGTCTGCCTTCCTCTAGGTTCTCAGCCTCCTGAATAAAGCTCATATTCATTTCCAATTAAAACTCATCTCTTGAATATTGGCTTTTTGAGTGACAGGCAGCTGATCTTGGGTTTTGGTTGCACACTGGACATTGAGCAATATGACTCTCATTAAGTTAAGCTTAAGGAGTTCCACAAACTTGGTGGCTTAAAACATCAAAACTTTATTCTCTCATGGTTCTGGAGGCCAGAAGTCTAAAGGCAGTGTCACTGGGCCAGGATCAACGGATTGACAGGGCCATACTCTCTCCAAATGCTCTAGATAACAGTCAGTTCTTTCACTCTCCCAACTTTCTGGTGGTTGCTGGGATTCATTGGCTTTTGGCCATATCACTCCAGTCTTCAAGGCCATATCTCTCCACCTCCTTTTCACACCATCTTCTCCTCTACATGTGTTGGAACTCCTAATGCCTCCCTCTCAGAGAGATACATTTAATTGCATTTAGGGTGCACTTGGATAATTCAGAATAATCTCCCTATCTCAAGGTCAAAATTTAATCTCTTATAGACATTGACTTCCAGGCTTTAGTTTACCCACTTGTACTTCCAAGTTAAGGCTTCTTCTTCTTCTTCTTTTATATATTTTTTAATTTTAATTTTTATTTTTTTAAAGACTTAATTTTATTTATTTGACAGAAAGAGATCACAAGTAGGCAGAGAGGCAGGCAGAGAGAGAGGAAGGGAAGCAGGCTCCCCGCTGAGCAGAGAGCCCGATGCGGGGCTTGATCCCAGGACCCTGGGATCATGACCTGAGCCGAAGGCAGAGGCTTTAACCCACTGAGCCACCCAGGTGCCCCTCTTCTTCTTTTTTTAAAAAGATTTATTTATGAGAGAGAGGGAGGGAGCAAGGAGGGGTAGGGGCAGAGGGAGAGGAAGACAAGCAGACCCTCCACTGAGCAGGGAGCCCTGACACAGGGCTCAATCCCAGGACCCTGGGATGGTGACCTGAGCTGAAGGCAGATGTTTAATCAACTGGGCCATCCAGGCAACGCCCTAGATTAAGGTTTCTTTAGGGATAGTTCTTATAATCAGAGATTGCATTATAAATTTCTATTTCTAATCCTCAGTCTTTTAAAATTGTGGGCTGCTCAGTGGGGAGCCTGCTTCTTCCTCCTTCTGGTTCTCCCCCCTACTTATGTTCTTTCTCCCTCTGTCAAATAAAGAAAATCCTTAAAAAATAAAATTGTGGGCTATGAATCATTATTTGGTTGTGAAATCAATTTAGTAGCTTGTGATCAGCCTTAAAAGACATTAGAACAGAGACTATCAGAGTGCATCACATGTAATGAGGGTAATTAGTTTTTTAAAGATTTTATTTATTTGAAAGACAGAGATCACAAGTAGGCAGAGAGGCAGGCAGGGGGAGAGAGGGGAAGCAGGAGCCGGATGCGGGGCTCGATCCCAGGACCCTGAGATCATGACCTGAGCAGAAGGCAGAGGCTTAGCCCACTGAGCCACCCAGGTGCCCCAAAGATTTTATTTATTTACTCGAGAGAGAGAAAGAGAGCGAGAACATGAGAGGGGAGAAGGTCAGAGGGAGAAGCCGACTCCCCATGGAGCTGGGAGCCCGATGCGGGCCTTGATCCCAGGACTCCAGGATCATGACCTGAGCTGAAGGCAGTCACTCAAGCCACTGAGCCACCTAGGTGCCCCTTGTAATGGGGGTAGTTATTGTTTCATGAAACAATATGTATGTATTGGATCATAATGTAAAATATCCTTCTTGTTCTAGGTGGTGGCAAAATGGAAAGCTTCTGTTATATACAGTCATTACTCATCATACTCAATGGCAAATATTCTTTACCATTAGACACAGCAAGAATTAAAACTCGTATAATCTTCAGGTTCTTACTGTGTGGCCTAGTCCAAGGGGCGGGTAGATATTTATTCTTTTTGGTAAATTAATTTACAGATTCCCTATTTCTATAAGTACTCATTCCCAGCATTATCTCCTATCTT